TGGTGAGTGTGTGGAGGGAAAGTTCTCTTCTGACGCTGTCTTGTATGTCAATACACTGTGACATGATCGCGTTTACTGTTTGACCCGATTCCTTTCTTGCTTCCATGCTCACTGCTCACTGCTCATCATCGTCATCATCATCGTCGACATCATCATCAACTTCGTCGTCGTCGTCATCTTCGTCAACGTCGTCAACGCCGTTGTCACCATGACTGGTGTTGTGGTTGGCTTCTTGATCAGGCACGGCCTCCACGCTGCTGCTGCCGTCACCGTCGACCATACCACCACCACCTTCACCTTCACCGACATCGGCACTACCTTCCTCATCACCCCCGTCATCTTCATCACTCTCATCCTCCTCGTCATCATCAGAGTCGCCGTCGCTCCGTTGCTGCTGCTGCTGCTGGTGCCAATACTGCTGCTGCTGTGCGAGCAAATGCCGCGCAAACGACAGCTCATCAGCAAGATAATCCTAACGTGTGTGTGTGTGAGTGAGTGAGTATATGCGTAAGTGTGTGTGAGAGAGAGAGTGTGTGTGAGTGAGTGAGTGAGTATGTGCGTATGTGAGAGAGAGTGAGAGAGTGAGTGAGTATATGTGCGTATGTGCGTATGTGTGTGTGTGTGCGTATGTGCGTATGTATGTGTGTGTGTGTGCAAACAAAGGTGTGTGACAGGCGCAGAGCACACGGCGACCGTACTCACGTCCTCCCCGCGTATCCTGCGCGCCTCGCTGATGGCAATGATGGCAGAGCGGTACTGTCGCGGTTGGTGGGTGGACATGCAAGACCGAAACGAGCACGCCAGCGCCGATGAATGATGAGTGAAGCGAAGACACAGTCGCTCGCTCGCGCACGCAAGCACAAAGCATGGACGCTTGCGGGACATTGCACACGTGCGTTTGGGGTACAACTGACCAGTCCTTTGTTGATGAGCACGCGGCTGACGGTGTGGTGGAAGTCTGCATCGCTCAAGTTGATGAGCAAACTTGGGTGGTAATACCACGGCAGCAGCTGGTGTAAGAAAGAGAGAATGTATGTATGTATGTGTGAGAGTGTGTGAGAGTGTGAGAGAGTGTGTGTATATATGTGTGTGTATGTGTGTGTATGTGTGATTAGCGAGTAGGCGACTGGTGTTAGCTGTGGCAAAGAGACGAAGAGGAAGTGTGTGTGTGTGCGTGCGTATGTGCGTGCGTGCGTGCGTGCGTGCACGGTGTTGCCCCACAGGTGTGCGTGTCCACCCACGTCTCCTCCCAGTTCACAAGCATACCACGCGCGTCGCTTCAAGCATGCTGTGCTGCGCATCCCTGTGCACACAAGCACGCACGGCAATACAGTTGTGACACGTGGTGACGTGAGAAGAGTAATGTGGAGAGAGGGGAGGGGGAGACAGCAGCGGATGGGCGGAGAGACCTTCACATACACACACATACATACATACACATACATACATACATACATACATACATACATACATACATACATACATACATACGCACACACGTACATACATACATACATATACACGTACATACATACATACATACATACATACACACGTACATACATACATACATACACACACACACACAACGCGGGCGTACAAACCACCTTGGGCGCTGGGCGTGGGTGAATGCGACGCCGTGAAGGTAGTGGATGTAGCCCTTGTGTCGTTTCAGCTCCTCCAAGTCCTTCTGCCACGCTTTTTGCGCAAACGCAGGATCGGATGTAGCAGCCAATGCAGCAATCCTGGGAGCAAGTGTTAACAGTGAGGAAGTTGGGGGGGGGGGGGGACGAGCAAGCGCACGCGTGTGACAGGTGGGTCTGGGTCGTCAACGTGCACAGGCCGTTGTCTCGTGACAATCATTCGCAGGAGTCACTGGCAGCAACAAACGACGCTACCACCATAAGTAGACACCACCGGCACCACACCTCTGTTCCAGCGCGTCGTCGAGGGTGACCTGTAGTGCAGCAGCAAAGTGTGCTTCTGCTTCCTCGGGCTTGTGGTGGACGAGTGCATCGATACCGAGCCACACGTGGCGGTCCTCGTTGGACGCATCTGTCGTGACCGTTTGGTGCCGCGTGGTGGCGCTCTGCTGCGCACTGCCGGGGGCCCGTGAAGCTGACAGCGACGAGGACGCTGGCCCCTTGGCGTGCTGATTCGCTGGAGAAGCGTGCCCGTCCTCTTCCGCTGTGTTTGTCGTGGTGCCGTGGTTGTGCTCCACAACTTTTCGAAACGCGGCAAACCCTGAGCGCAGAGCGATACATGGGATCGAGGGTGATGAAGAGGCCGTGTCGGTGAAATGCAGCACGTGCACACGGGAGGAAAGGTGAACGCAACCGTACGTGTCAGGTAAGTACGGGTACACAGCCCATGTCGGAAGGATACAGGCCAGGCAGGGTATGTGGCAAGGCCCAAGAACAAGGGCACATGCAGCTGCATAGTTGGCAGCCACACGCATGCACATGAACGCTCACCTTCTTGGTTTTGACGAACGACCAGCTTGATGACAGAAGCCGCCTGCATGGCGTCCTTCAAATGGTCCAGTACCTCCTACAATCGGGTGCGAATGCGTGTAGTGGTTAACGTGTGTGCGTGTGAATACGTGAGACAAGTGGGGATCACAGTGTGCAGCCACAAGCAAGCAAAGGCGTCGCTGTGGCACATGCAGGGAGCCTGGGCTGTAACCATCAGTTCACCACCACCACCGCCACAGCGAGACCACCGCAACGACAATGCAACGACAATGCAACGGCCATGATGAAGGAGGGTAAAAGCAGTGCACGCTGTGCCAGCAACGCACGGGCAAGGTGGAGGCTGTGGTGTCGATGCGCCAGTCCGTGGTTGCCACTGACAGGATCTGGTCACCGACGTGCAAGGCCGCGGTGCAGTCGTCGTCCACGCGCGACACGTAGACGCCGGGCTGGTCGCCGATATCGAGGTTTGTTGCTCCGACAAGCCCCACCCCCAATGTGCGGTGATTGTCCTTGCCGTCTTCACCACCAGAGTCGTCCCCCAAATCGACCAGCACCTCGCGGGTCTTGGCCATGTCTCCCAGCGACATTGTGTGTGTGTGTGTGTGTGTGTGTGTGTGTGTGTGTGTGTGTGATGTGTGTGTGTGTGTGTGTGTGTGTGTGTGTGTGTGTGTGAAGTGTGTGTGTGTGTGCTTTTGAGAAGTAAGCGCTTGCGTGCTGGCGTGCTGCAGGCGTGGATAATCCAAGAAGACAGCGTTAGACTCTCTTCTTCTCTTGGTGTGCTGTGGTGTGCTGTGGTGTGTTGTTCACAGCAGCAGTCAGTAGGTCAGTGGGGGTTGACAAGAGGGCCAACACAACAGTCACAAAGGTGAACAACAACAAGCACAAAAAAAGCCCGCAAGAAGCAAGCAAGAGCAAGAAGCAAGAAGCGAAGAAGCGACGAAGCGAAGAAGAGGCAGTGGAAGAGTGAAGGAGAGAAATGCAGCGTTCCTTCTTTGAACAACGAGTACGAGTCGTAGTGGTGGTTCAGATGGAGCTATGAAGGTGAGACTCGGCTGACAGATGCCTAGATGCAGCAGAGAGTGCGCTACAAGGGGACACGTTGGGCATAGCCATGCCGGGCGAAAAAAAAAAGATATACGCCCGCCGGGAATCGAAGAGACAAGGAGAACTGTGCGTTCATTGTTCACTGCACACTGTGTGAAAGAATGGGTGGTAGGGGTGGTTCAGATGGAGGTATGAAGGTGAAACTTGGCTGACAGATGCAGCAGAGAGTGCGCTACAAGGTTACTACACGTTGGGCATAGCCATGCCGGGCGAAAAAAAAAGATATACGCCCGCCGGGAATCGAAGAGACAAGGAGAACTGTGCGTTCGTTGTTCGCTGCACACTGTGTGAAAGAATGGGTGGTAGGGGTGGTTCAGATGGAGGTATGAAGGTGAAACTTGGCTGACAGATGCAGCAGAGAGTGCGCTACAAGGGGACACGTTGGGCATAGCCATGCCCTGCCGGGCGAAAAAAAAAAGATATACGCCCGCCGGGAATCGAACCTCATCCTCTCTACTGGCCGTGGCTTCATGTAGGGGGGCATCGAACCGATGTCCTCTGCATATGGGCACATGGAAGGGATGAATCCTAACCATTGGACCACGGGCGCTTGTGGTTATTTGCCTTGGAGATTTCCCGCAGCAGCAAATCCCCCGCACACACATCTTGCATCACCATCACAACCGCCACGCCAACCACTGCACACCTCCACCCAATATCGCACACGCTTGCGTGACAGAGCAAGCTTTCACGCACGCCTTCTTCACTTCTGCTTCTCCTCAAGCCTCACTCCCCCTTCCTACAACACCCTGAAACCTCTCCTGACCTACCTACCTGGCTGCAGCTCGCACACACCATTCACACACACCACCGAACACCACTCACAACACCAGAAACCGAACACTCCCCACCACGCGACAACACCTTCCCCCCCCCCCCCACACACACACACATCCCAAGATGACGACGCCATCGATGCAGCAAGTGGATGCACTGGAGCAGGAGTTCCGTGCTGTGCAAGACCACATCACCTCGTTTCTGTCATCCTTCTCTGGACAAGTGTTTGAGGAGACGGAGTGGCCCTACACGAAAGGCAAGGGTGGCGGCCGCACGCGCGTGCTTGAGGTGGACCGCCGCCACTACCTCCAGTCGCAAGGCGGCAACGCCAGCCCCTGGGAGCTGCGCCCGGAGCGCACCCCTCGCTCCTTCTTCGAGAAGGGCGCCTGCAACTTCTCCGGCATCCACGGCGACAACATGCCAAAGTCGGCCACCAGCGCCCTCAACATCCCGGAGAACACGCCCTACCGCGCCACGGGCGTCTCCCTCATCTTCCACCCCTCCAACCCGTACGTGCCCACCATCCACATGAACGTGCGCTTCTTCATCTGCGGCGAGAAGTGGTGGTTTGGTGGCGGCATCGATGTCACGCCAACCTACCCGATCCTGGAGCAGGCCATCGCCTTCCACGCCGACCTCAAGCAGCTCTGCGACGCCCACCACGTGCCCTATGGCGAGTGGAAGGAGTGGTGCGACAAGTACTTCTTCCTCCCGCACCGAAATGAGACGCGCGGCATCGGCGGCATCTTCTACGACCACTTCCAGGGCGACAGCTTCGAGCACGCCAAAAACTTCACCATGGCTCTCGGCCGCACCTTCAACGAGCTCTACTCCATCTTCCTGCCCAACGGCAACATCTCCTTCACCATTGCCCAACGCGAGTTCCAGCTGTACCGCCGCGGCCGCTACGTCGAGTTCAACCTCGCCTACGATCGCGGCACCAAGTTTGGCCTCATGTCCAATGGCCGCGCAGAGTCCATCCTCGTCTCCCTTCCCGCCACCGTGCACTGGGTCTACGAGTACAAGCCGCCCGCGGGCAGCAAGGAGAGCTACCTCTATGACCACTTTCTCAAACCACAGAGCTGGCTTGCCCTCACCGACGGCGACAAGGCGCAGATGCAGCCGCCGCCAAACTTTGTCGGCGCCTCCAAGAGCAGCTTCGTTACCATGCCCAGCAAGGGCCTGTTTGCCTCACTTGCCTGCCCCGCCGTGCTTGGGCCCCTTGCATTTGTTGTCGGCGCTGCCGCTGCCGTTTGTTACTTCAAGAAGGGTGGCTGCTTGTTCTGTCTCCCTTCATCATGCTGCAAAGCGTGACGATGCTAGTTGTTGCTTTCACTTCTCTCTTGTGCCTCCGCTAAGCATGTGTGTGTGTGTGTGTGTGTGTGTGCATGCTTGCCTGTGTGTGTGTGTGTGCATGCTTGCCCCTGTGTGTATGAGATGCCACCTCGCCCATGAAGTTTGCCTGTTTGTTTTGTTTGTAACTGTTACCAATACATTTGAATGGATGCAGCAAGTGTATTATACCTTTTGGCGCCATGCCCTTAGCCACACACACACACACACACACACACACACACACACACACACGCACCACACACACACACACACACACACACACACACACACACACACACACACACACACACACACACACACACGCACGCACGCACGCACGCAGCTAGTCTTCTGCAACTTCCTCTTCTTCGTCCTCTGTGTTTACAGCGGCAGCAGCTGGCGGGGTTGTCAAGGGTGGTGGAGGCATGGCTGTGGGTTGCTGAACCAGAACGGTCTCTTGTCCCGCAGGTTGTGGCGGCTGCGTGTGTGTGTCGGTGACATGGCTCTCATCATCACCGGCATCAGCAATTACCTCTGCCTCCTCCTCATCCTCCTCATCTGCAACCGGTTCTTCCTCATCCTCATCTTCACCAATAGTAGTCTCACGCACCTCTGGCTGCTGCTGCTGTTGCTGCTGCTGCTGCTGCTGTTGTTGATCATTCTCGTCGTCGGCAACAGCCTCCTCTTCGGAATCAGCAGCACCTTGTTCCTGCTGCTGAACGGCACCGCGGTCTGTGCGGCCGGAGCCAACCACCTGCTGCCCTGCCGTGCGCCGCGGTTCATCATGATCGTCCTCTGCAATGGCCTCCTCTTCCTCATCGTCAGCATCGTCAGTACGGCCATTGCCGCTGGCACCCGGCCCCACTTGTTCTTGCGCTCTCTCGTGTGCCTTTGATGGTGGCGGCGGCGGCGGTGGCGGAGAAGGGGGAAACGGCGTGCTCGCGTGCTCCTGGTACTGTGCCACTGTTGGTATGGCCGGAACCTGCTGTTGCGGCGGCAGGGGTGACATGGGAGCCCAAAACGATGCGAACGGCTGGGAAGTGGTGCCGCTGGGTTGTGGCGAGGGCACGCTCCCTCGCACAAGGTCATAACAGGCACCATCATCATCATCCTCTGTCTTCATCTCGATATCTTGCTGTTGTGACTGCACCTGTTGTTGTTGCTGTTGCTGTTGTGGCTGCCCTACTTCCCTCTCCCCTCCCCTGTTCCTCTCTTCATCATCACTCTGCTGCCGCCGCTGAGGCGGACCTGCATTGGGTGTACTCACGTCACCATCGCCTTGAGTATCCATGACCGTGACGGCTGCTGCTCCGGTGTTGGCAGCGGCAGAGTTGTAATGCCCACCAACGCTCGAAGGTGCCGTTTTTGGCTTCCTCTTCTTCAGCGGCGGCAAGTACTTGCCAAGCTCGCTCAGCGTCGACCAGAGCAAGGTTTGGTTCGCGTTGAGCATCCTAGCAGCGGCAACAATTGCGTCCTCGCGCGTGTCCGCTGTTGCGCGCACAATCTCGCTGCGTCGCAGGGTCTTCTTGTGAATCAGGATGCACACGCCATCCACCCGCCCGTCTGGACGCGGCTCCGCGTGGAAGATGCAGTGCAGCTTCGTGTCGAGCGTAGCGTCTCGCACTGCCGCGACCATGTTGGCTTTCTTGCTCGCAGTCTCTTGCACTGTGGGCAAGCCCTCAAACCTCCATCGCTCAGCAAGCCCATCAAGACCATAGTGCATAAACACGGCGCCAAACACCGACAGCGTAAACGACGCCACCTCCTGCCAAAAGCAGGCATTGCATTGAAATGTGCGTGCATACGTGAGTGAGTGAGTGAGTGAGTGAGTGAGCGTGCGTGCGTGAGTGAGTGAGTGAGCGTGCGTGAGTGGGTGAGTGAGTGGGTGAGTGAGTGAGTGAGTGAGTGAGTGAGTGAGTGAGTGAGTGAGTGAGTGAGTGAGTGAGTGAGTGAGTGCGTGCGTGCGTGAGTGACAGGAGCGGTGTAGGCAGAACATGGCTCACAAACAAGTTTGGAGCAAGGAACAGCAGCAGCACACATGACCAACCTCTGCGCCGGCCGGCAGGGGCAAGCGGTGGCGAACAGCGTGTGCGCAGCTAGCAGCCAGCTCCGCAAACTCTCCGCTGTCGTGCAGAATGTATGGCAGCATCCCAAACATGTCCACCGCCTTCTGCACCAGCAGCTCTGTCGAGACAACCTCATCGCTGCGCACACAAACAAACAGCGGGCATCAAGTCAGTGTGTGCGTGTGTGTTTGTGAGGGCTCAGCGATGCAAGCGCGTGTGCTTGTGTGGTCCAAGCAAAAAGCGTGTAAACCAGCATCCCCGACACACACACACACACACACACACACACACAGGCATACGGCAAGGTGTTCATTTCCAACCACACACGCACGCACACACACACACACACACACACAGGCATACGGCAAGGTGTTCATTTCCAACCAGATATCGTCCCATGAGGAGACGGAAGGGGCGTTGTCCTGGGTTTGCACAAACTTGTCAATGCACAGTAGGCGAACGCATAGCCGCCCAATCAACGCCAGCTTCTCGTTGTTGCCGAGCTGGTTGTTCTGCATAGCGTGTGGTGGAGAATGGTTGGTGTCATGCGGGTGACGTGGGCATGCGCAATCCTCTTGATTGCCAAAGAAAAAAAAAGGACACACACGCACACGCACGCGCACACGCACGCGCACACGCACGCGCACACGCACGCACACACAAACACACACATACGCGCGAACAAACAAACCCAAACACACACACACACACAACCACACACACACACACACAACCAACCAACCAATCAGCCAGACAGACAGACGAAGTACAACAGCGACGAACCAAGAAAGAGCGGTGGGTCAGCGCCTCGAGAAGAAGGGCGCGGTTGCACGATGGGCCAGTAAACCCAAGATGTTCCTGCAACCCCAAAATGTCAAACAGGCAAGCAGCGTGGTTGGTGTTATGAGGCTGTAACTGATGCACAATTGGTTGCGCGGGTAACATGTGCCACGCATGGCGGCAATAGCAGCAGTTCCAACACCATCAAGGGAGCTTACTGCAAGCGGCGCAATCACTGGCCAGTAATGCTGGACCGTGGTCTGCATCTTTTCGCGGGAGCGGCGATGCGCCATGTCGTATTGCATCTGCACACCAAACACAGAGCACATCTCATTATACCCCACATTGTGCGGCGTGCAGGAAGACACAAAGCGCCACGATTGTACATCACAACAACAACAACAACTTAAACAACAGCAACAACAACAACTTAAACAACAGCAACAACAACAACTTAAACAACAACAACAACAACAACAACTTAAACAACAGCAACAACAACAACTTAAACAACAACAACAACAACAACAACTTAAACAACAACAACAACTTAAACAACAACTTAAACAACAACTTAAACAACAACAACAACAACGCAATGCCCTGTTGGTTGTGATGGATTTGCCAACACACACACGTGTGACGTACCGCGTGTGGCCCGACGTTGTCTGGGAGACGAGAAGCAATGCCAAGGCCATGAAGGAAGTCATGCAGCACCTGGTGTAGCTTGCTGTGAAAGCGCTGGCCTTTGCCGTGCGGGTTGGCCATGCCCACATGCAGCAGGCCGAGCCATGCGCGCACCAGCAGGGCTCGCGCCGCGACCGCATCCACATCAGGCGCCCGCTTCCATCCTGGTGGCACCCACTCCTCGAACTTGGGCACGGACGGCACAAAATACCTTCTCCCAACACACGTAGACGCAATGTGTGAGCAGCAACACAAGCAGCAGCACAGACACGCATGTCAAATTGACTGATGCGCGACACCCCCCTCTACACACACACACACACACAAACACAGACACACAAACACAGACACACACACACAGACACACACACACAAACACACACACACACACAACACACACACAGACACACACAACACACAGACACACACAGACACACAACACACACACAAACACACACACACACACACGAACAAATGTCACTCCTCCTCCCCCTCCCCCCATAAACGCACTTGAGAAAGGGAAAACCGAGCTCCTGAGAGCGCTTGGAGAGGTATCCATCAGAGCGCAGCCAGGCGATTTGGGCGCACATCGGGCCAACAGCACGCGATGGGTACTTGAGGTAGAGGTGCACAGCGGCAGCAAACTGAAGATACGCATCCCCAAGCATGGCTAGGTGCTCTGCACCAATGCAGCCGAGTGTGGACGACGTCAGCATGGAGGCAATCGGGTTGAGGTGCTTGTGGTGGCGGCTCCAAGCAAACGGGGACACGGACCCGGAAAACTGCAGTGGGGACCCCTCCATCACAACGCGCACGCCCTCCCTGTGCAGCAGTGCACACTCCAGGCTGCTGGCGAAGACAGGGAACATGCACGCCTCTCGCGAGTAGGGCAGGAACACCAGCTTCGACGCCGAAATGGAGAACCGTGGCGCCGCTTCACGGTGTGCGATATAGTCCTGGCTGCGCACAACAAGCACGGCAAAGTCTTTCGCTGCACGGCTGCTCCCATCCTCACTGTCGCCACCATCACCGCCACCAACTTCCGTGCCCTTGTGACGGCTCCCCCCGACGTCTTCCGTCGTCGTGTCTTTGCCAAGCAGAATAAACGAAGGCGATCTGGCATTGTCCTTGAAGGCAACAAGCCGGCCCGTTGTGTGCTCAATGGACACCTCAAGCAGCGATGTCGGGTTGCTGCTGCTGCTCGACAGCAGCTGGCCCCACGCCACCACGGACTGCTCTCCGTGCGTGGTCAGGGGGCAGTACATGTACGCTGGCGTTGCCGCTGACGGCGCTGCCGTGCTGGCGGCAGGGGCCACCGTGCGCATGCACTCACGGTGATATGACGCAAACTTGGCCAGCTGCTGCGGTGACACCTCCACCTGATCCACGTACCTCAAGCTGCCGCAAAGGCCGGCGTTGAGCAACACCCTGAAGTCATCCTGGGCCTGCTGCTTGTGCTGCCGCCCAGGTTGCTGATTGGCGCGTTTCCGCAAGATTGGGCGCGGGGCAAGCAGCCCACAAGTGAACTCGGTCATGTCGGGCACCTGCGTGACCTCAGCGTCGCTCGACGGCGCCAGCGCCTCGTAGCCGTGCTCCTCAAGCCGCGGCAAGGGCCCGCTGTACACCAGCGATTGCAGCACGCGGTTCGCATGGAAGTTGTCAAAGTTGTTCAACGGGTCTCGGTTGAACTTCTCCACGGGCCGAATTCGGAAGCTGTGCAGGTGCAGCACGACCGCGTCCTCTGTGCTCTCGGAATCGCCACCGTTGATCATGGCATCGTTGTCTGCTTGGCCAGCAGTGCTGGATTTGTTGCCGTTGTGGCCGTCGCCCACTGTAAACGAGTGGGGCGACGCCGACAGGCACCTTGGCATTCCACGCGCACAGCGCTCCTCAGCCCTGTCCGTCGCCTGTGGTGCCAAGGCTTTGCACTCTTCTGAAGCATCCTGCTTGATGAGGACCGTGGATGGGAACGGCGAGTCCCGTGTGGCGTCGTAGCGGCTGGTGAGCAGCGCCCGCCGGCCACGCGCCACATCTGCCATGCGCGCATATGCCAGCAGCCCAGCGGGGTGGTGGGCACTCAGGCCAATCTGCGGTGTGCCAATGGCGTCAAAGTAGCCGTGACCTTCGAGAGCGCGCACGCAGCGCGTGGCTACCTTCTCCAAGGCATTCGTGGGCTCGTACCCAAGGTCCTGGTTGTCAAAGGCGGACAGCGCCGGTGGAAGGTGTGCCGCGGCAACAAACTGCTTCGACGTGTGTCCCTGCACCGTGTAGAAGGGCAGCTGGGAACGCCGCGCACCAGAGCCAAAGTCAAGGCGCAGACACAGCTGGTTGAGCTGCTCCAGGCCCGTCAACTCTTGCTCATCCAAGGCAATGTGGTTGGGGTTGGCAACAGCCAACGTTGTCGAGGTTCCCGTTGCTGCCGACGCTGCCTGTGGTGACGACGACGACGCTGCTTGTGATGTCGACGAAGCACCAACTGCGCCTGTGCCATCAGCCGTGCTGGAAGACGAGGGCTTGCCCGTGGACGCTGCGTCAGCGGCCATTTCCGCCGGCACCCCTGCAAAGAGGTTGAAGTAGTGGCGGAGCTCAAGGTACGTGGTGCGTGTGCTGTTGAAGAGCTGCTGCGTGTGCGCGTCGTCCGGCACCACGTGAACAACAGCGCCAGCCATGGGCACACACGCCGCAGCAACCGCTGCATACGCGTCCACCGAGGTCACATCGGCGAGGCTGATCACAAGTGTGGCCTGCGGCACCGTGGGCAGGGCATCGATGGTGGTGACAATGATAAAGTCGTCGGCCTCCCACGCCTTCTTCACGCTGCGCTCCACGTCGCGTGCCATGGCCGCAAAGCACCGGTTGGCCTGGTGAACGCGGCGCGTGAGCGGTGTGAGCGGCGGTGCAAGGGCTGCGCGGCTGCCGTGGCCACCGATGGAGGGTGTGGCCACGGCGGCGGCGGTGGAGTGGACCAGCACCCTTGCGCTGGCGGCTGTGGGCACGGCGATGATGGCGGGGCGGGCGTCTTCTTCAGCTGCCGTTGCCGTGGTGGCGAGCCGCTGCTGCAAGAGGGCTGCGATGGTGTTGACCCCAAACTGGTTCGGCAGGACGAGCGTCACGCGCGTGTGCTCGGTACGCGCAGCCTGCAGCAGTTTCAGCGCCACGGTCAGCCTGGGGGAAACGGGGCTGCCTGCCGATGGCTTGGTGTCCGTGGACGCGGGTTCATCCATCTCAAAGTCCTCGGAAATGACACCGTGCTGGCCGCTGCCGTCAGCATACCACAGCTGCGCATACAGCTCCTCGTCATCGTACAGCAGTGGCATGGAATCCAGCCACGGAAAGTGCTGGTTGAGCCACTGCGTGCGCTGCGCTTCGTTTGCTGGTGGCGCAGTCATTGCTGGCGCATCAAACGACCTGCCATGCGGTGGTACTGCTGCTGCAGATGATGCGGAAGACGACAAGTGGGGGATGGGCGGCCAGAGCGACCCTTCGTCCTCTACTTTGGCCTCTTCTTCCACGCTGTTGGGCTGCTGTTGCTGTTGCTGCTGCTGCTGCCGACCCAGGCGTTTCATCAGGGCCAGCCGCGGGTCCTGCACTGCAGGTGCTCTTCTGCCCTGGTTGCGCAGGGCAGGGTGGAGTTGTTGTTGTCCATGGTGGGGTTGTCGCGAGGCTGCTGTTGCTGCTGTAGCCGCCGCCGTTGTTACTGAGGAGGTTGAGGAAGGCGGGTGGAAGCTGCTGAGAAACGAGGAGTAGAGGGGCTCCTCTGCGTCATCGCAGGATAACTCGTCGAGAAGGCGCTCTGCTTGGCGCCACAACATGCGGGTGCAGAACAAGCCGTACTCTGTGCCCACAAGTTCGATCATCTCGCACAGGCGAATGCGCAGCGCGGCGCGTTGCAAGCGGCGGTGGATAATCAAGGCGTGGGCGCTGTCTGCGTGCGGGAACAGCGTGCGGAGTCGTTGCACCTGCAGCTCCAGCTTGGCCTGCCAGCCGCTGTGTGCGGCCGCCGCGGCGCCGACGGCATTGCGCAAGAGGTCGTTGAGAGCCGCAGGGCGGTCGTCGTACGTGCACGGCACGCAGCTGCACAGCTGCTCGTGGAAGAGCGGGCCCGGCATGGGCGGCGCGACAAAGGCGCGCAGCGGGTAGCTGTTGGTGCGCACGGTCAGGTCGTCCAAGCTGGAGAACAGGTTGCGTGCGCCAGGGTGCAAGGGCGCAGACGTGATGCCACACACGGCAATCGGGTTGTCTCGGTCCGGCTTCCTGTACATGTCCAGGACCTCGCCCAGGTGGGGGTCCTCTGCCAGCTGCGCATCAAAGTCGAAGATGAGCGCCTGGATGGTCATTGGTTTTGGCATCGCAGGTGCTGGCGGCGCCTGTGCATGCGGCATCGCGACGCCTTGCCCCCCGTGGCCGCTGGTTGTGGTGGGGTCCGGCGTGGGCCAAAACGCAAGCAGGTGCGGTGCCTTGAGCAGCAGCACGAGCGTGGTCGGCGTGCAGATGAGCACGTCTGCACGCTGCAGTCGGCGCCGCCAGGCATTGACATCCACCTGCGCGTCGTACACCTGGGCGCTGTCTGGAACGCAGCAGCCGAGACCTTCCACGGCACCAAGCACGCTCGCCACCTTCAGTGCATACGCCTCCGACGACACCACATAAAGCGCTACTTGGTCGCTTGAAACGGGTTCCGGGATGCGCGCGTGTGTCTGTTGCTGGTCCCTGCGGTCATCATCCGAGGTGAACCGGGAAGTCCACCCAATGGATTCTTCAAAATAGTTTGTGTTGTTTCGTGGTGGAGGGTTCGGGGTTGTGCGTATGTGCGTGTGCGTTGTGAGCAAAAATGAGTGCAGATGCGGGTCTGATGTCGACATACGTAACATTTGCTGCAAACTGACAGTATTGCACACATATGCACAGACATGTACACAGAGACACAGAGACACACGGACACAGACACACGCACACACTAACGGAATCGTGCTCGTTTTGAGAACGGTTGATGGGACGTGGCATCGTCTTTGGGATCCGTGGGGTGGCGGTACATCCGCTCTGGCCCGGCCTGCATCAATGACGGAGGCAGAACAACACACACACACACAATTTGTGTGTGCATGCGTGAGTATGTGTGTATGTGTGTGTATGTGTGTGTGTGTGCGCGCGCGATGCGGTGTGGGCGTGTGGCACGCAAACGTGATGTTGTCCAATAGAACCAAAACAGCAGCAGTTACTTGCCCAACTAGCTTGCCAACCAACCAAGCAGAGCCCGATCAATCAAAGCCCAATCAACCACGACCCAAACAATCGCACGCGAGACCAGCGAGCACGCAGCTCCAGCCCCACAGCCAGACGAACCGTGGAGATGAGGTGGCGGAGAAGCCGGCCGGCCACATGCACGCGCATGGAGAACGACTCAACAAAGACGAGGAAGTTGTCGCTCTTGATAGAGGTGAGGATGGCGTTGAGGTAGCTGCTGTCGGAGGAGGCGTAGGTGGCATGGTTGAAGCGTGAGAACCGGTGGCGCGCAAGCAAGCCCGGCACATCGCGTGCCCAGGATGCCACGGCAGCGCTGGCGCTGGCGAGCGTGGTGGGCTGCAGCGGCTGCACCGCCACAGAGAACTGCGCAGAGTCTGCGGTGACGTCGTACACGTCCGGGTTGCGGAAGGACCCGCAGGCAGCAGACACAAACGGCTGTGGGGCCATGCCCATGCTGTAGGTGCTGCCCGTAAAGGCGCTGCCAGAGAAGGCGCTGGTGGTGCTGCCGCTGCTGGCCATGCTGGTGACGGGGCCGGTCGTGGCAGCTGATGTGGCAGTGCTGGTGGGCACGCGCGGCCACGTCTCCGAGGTGGAGCTGCTTGTTGGCAGGGCGGCGCGCGCGTCGGAGGTGGCGCCGGGCAGGTACGACGTGGCAACCCATGCGTATGCGGAGGTTGGGACGAGGCCCAGGCCCAGCTTCTCGTGCAGGTATTCCAGGGCAACCAGAGCGGTGTAGCGCTTGGTGGTCTTCTTGTTCTGGATGATGGAGAGGCGCACCGTGTACCCGTCATACAGGGTGACCTCGCTGTTGTCTGCGCTGAACACGGGGAGGGGGAGCGCAAACTGGCTGCAGGTTTGGTTGAGGACAGATACGGGGTTGGTCTGCGTCACGAGATGGGCAACACTGCCTGGTTCATGTGACAAGGGAACAGGTGGGCGGACGCTGGGCGGCGAGGGCGTGGCCAGTTCTGAGACCGTACTTGTTGCAGCCGACGCTGGCGTGGTTGCTGGGGCAGGTGGGGCAGTGGGCGGGGTAGTTGTGAACGAGGATGAGGATGGGGAGCTGACTGGCACGGTCAGTTGTTGCGGTAACGTTGGTGGCGGTACTGATGCTGACGCTGACGACACTGCTGGGTTGAAGTAGCCACCAGAGTGGTGTGAATGGGTGGAAGAAGAGGGTAGTGCCTGGTTTATGACGTTGCTGCTGTTGCTGCCAGTGCCGGTGGTGGTGGTGCTGCTGCTGTTATGGCTGGCGTATGGCTGCGCGGATCGTTCGTGGGCTGGTTGTTGTTGGCGGTGGTAGTGATGAACAGGCTGGTGGCCGTGATGCAAAGGCGGGTCGTGCTGCATGTGCTGCTGTTGTTGGTGTTGAGGATGGTGCTGTTGTGGGCCGTGGGGTAGGTGGTGATGGGATGCTGCTGCCTCGTGTTCGCCCTGCGGGCGCTGGTGCTGCTGGCGTTGCTGGTGCTGACCGCCTGCAACTGCGTCGCGGAGGCGCTGAATCACAATGTGAAATGGAGGCTTTGGCAGGTCCTGCACAAACTGGTCGCGGTTGGTGATGGCTTTCCAGGCCTTGAAGAAGGCCTCAGCTTTGGCGGCCTTTTTGTTGCGCGCGTGCCCCACAAACTCAAACTCATCAAACAAGACACACTGGCAGTTGGCGGTGGTGGTGGCAGCAGTTGGTGGTGGCAGCAGTTGGTGGTGGCAGCAGTTGGTGGTGGTGGCGGTGAATACGACAGTGCACACAGACACACAGACACATGCATACACACACATGCACACATACATACACACAGACACACACATGCACACATACATACACACATATAGACATACATACACATACACAAGGGCATATTGTGTGAAAACAAGCAGTCAGGGAACGAAAGCACGGCCACAGAGGAATCGCTGCGAAAATGCATGCAAGCAAGTGCCCGGCCGAATATAGCGGTGGGTGCGCGAGTGGGTGCCAAAACAGGGCGGGAAAAGGGGAGGGGGGCGAATGCATACCTTGCATACGAAGCCGCCTTCGCTGGCCATCGAGAACGAATGGGAGGGGAACGGGCGCATGTTCTGTGTGCAAATTTCGTGGATGAAGCTGCAAGCCAAAGCCGAGGAGTGCGCGGAGTGTGCGGAGTGTGCGGAGTGCGGGTTTGTGGAGGGAGCAAAGCGTATGGGTGAGGTGGCGGGAAACCCCAAGCGATGGCAGCTGGTACGAGCGGGGGGGGGGAGGAGGCGTACGAGGGGAAGGGTGGATCAAGGGAGGGCGCTTGTGGTGTTGTGTGTGTGTGTTGTGTGTGTTGTGTGTGCTGACCTTGTAGGGTGTGCCATCTTGGCGGGCTCACGGTGGGTTTTCAGTGCTAAGGGCACCAGGTGAATGCCAGCAAGCCCACGGCCGCCTGACTCTCACAGTTTTGTCCCTACTGCTGCGATGGATGGGAACAGTGAAACAGACGATAGCAAAGAGAAAGTAACAACCAAGCAAAAAGAGCGAGGGAGAGAGGGAGAGAGAGACAGAGAGAGACAGAGAGAGAAAGAAGAGCGAAAAGAAAGAAGAAGCAGTGAGCTCGTGCGTGTACAATCACACACGCGCACACACGCGCACACACACGCACACACACACACACACATGTGCACATTCACGCAGGCCAGTGCACAAGCTTGGTTTTCCCGCCAACACCAACCACCAGCCAGCACCAACCACAGCAACAAGCAAGCAAGCAAGGACCAACCAACAGATGATGCCAGCGAGTGTCGTTTGCGACAGCATAAATTGGAAGATGACCAACTTTTATAATCATGCATGGAATCACAGATCATTGTGATGTGACGACTTATTTTCCCCCACCACTTGGACAAAGGCCAGCAGTCGTGATGGTGGACGATGGCAACGATGGCGCACTGGCCACGGGCTTCTTCGTCAAAGAAGGTGAGCAGACGTGGTGGCAGGTGGTGTGCAGTGTATGTGCGGTGAAGTGCGGTGACCGATGAAGCATAGTGGAGTGAATGTGCTGTGAATAATGAGGCGAAGTGCAGTGCAGTGCAGTGACCATTCAAGTGCGGTGAAATGTAGGTCAATACAGTGGTCAGTGTGCAAACCTCAACAACAACAACACACGATGCCATGTGTGCATCACCTCTCAAGGTGGCTCTGTGAAGAGCTGGAAGCGAAGGCTGTTCCGTCTCGACCGCTCCTTGCTTGCGTATTCCCCACGCTCAGAGTCCTGGACCAAGAGCATTGCTGTCTCCAACATCTCGGTGTGTGTGTGAATATGAATGTGAATGTTTGTGTTTGTGTTTGTGTGAATGTGAATGCGAATGTTTGTGTTTGTGTTTGTGTTTGTGTGTGGTGCATACGTGTGTGAAGTTAGCATCTGTGCTTGTGTGCATGTGTGTTGTGTACGCACAATCCTTTGGCTGTGACAGCCTCTCTTTCTCCTCACGCAAACACACACATACACACACGTACGTACGACGCGGATACATTTTGCAGAAAGTGCTCTCCGTGAAGGAATGCTCGTGCCGCTGGCCAACACCTGTCACGGAGGCCAGCTTCGGTGTAGTCACGCCTGCCAGGACCTACTTCTTGCTCGCAGAGAACTCAGACGATGGCCGCATCATGCAAAGCACCCTCTGCCTGCTTCTCATCAGCGCAGGTGGGTTGCTCGGCTGGTTGCCTGTGTGTGCGTGTGTGTGTGTGCGTGTGTGTATGTGCGTGTGTGTATGTGCGTGTGTGCGTGTGTGTGTGTGCGTGTGTGTGTGTGAGTGTATACGCACACGCAAGTGTGGACTTTGTGCTCGCGCGCGCGTCTACGTTGTGGCCACACTGCCTTTGTTTGCTCGTTGACATCAGTCAGCCTGTCCCGGATTCCTTGTACCCCACCTCCGCCGTGGCCTCATCCCCTGTTGTCTCCACGCTTGCTTGCATGCCTTAACCACTATCACTATCACGATCATCACCGTCGCCACCACTACCACGACTGCAACCACGACCACGACCACGGCTAGGCACCCTGAACGACGACGGGGTGCTGCGATGCCTGAAGACAATCGAGAGACACGCGACCGAAAACGAGGCTGTCCGCAACCACCTCAACAAGATTGCACAGCAGCCCGACATCACTGGTCTCTTCAACTGCCGCACTTCCGACAAGGACTGCAACGACACACGCACACACATTCTCCAAGTCAGTCGTACGCGTGTGCGTGCGTGCGTGCGTGCTGTATTGCCATGTGTACTCGTTCCAAGTTTCCCTGTGCGCAGCCTATTGCTTCATTGGTGAGTGCTCCCCTGTTGCAGCAGGTTGCATATCACTCACCCTTCCACACAACCCCTTGCTCCGTGTCCTTGTGCTGTCTTGGCAGCTGATTGGGCTCAGTGACGGCAGCGCCAGCAGCGATGATGATGACGGTGAGACGAAGAAAGACGAGCCCCAAGCCAAGGCAGTCGAGCCAGCGGCGGAGGAAACGGGCAATGACACGCCGACCGCAGCGCAGCCCTCGCACGGTGCCCAAGAAGAAGATGGTGCTGGCAGGGAGCAGAACGCCAGTGCCAACGCCGCTGACGATGATCACGACGCAACCGTGAGCGACAGCGAGGCTGCAGATGTGCAGGGGGAGACATCAGGTGTGACGGAAAGCTCCACCGCAGCCACTACTGATGCAACAGCAACAGCCACAGCCGCCCAGCGCGTCGAAGAAGAAGAAGACACACAGCAGCAAGTGGACGAAGACGCAGACGCAGACGCAGACGCAGACGCAGACGCAGACGCAGACGCAGACGCAGAAGCAAGCGCAGCGCAAGAGACAGCGCAACCTGAGGTTGTGCAGGATGCGCTTGGTCACGGTCGTGGTGACGACTCCGTCAACACAGCAGACGTCCTCGCCTTCAAGGATGCAGGTGCGGTGGGCACGCACAATGTGTCATTGTGAGGCGAATGGGGCGTTGTCGTGTTGTTTGCACACGCAACCGTGTGCAATGTAGCACATGAAAGCTAGCTGGTCACCATTGCACGGCTTGGCTCTTTGCGTATCACCTCCACCACCGCCACCATCATCACAGCCACCATCACAACCACAATCACAACCACCACCACCTCGCCATCACAACTAACGTCGTCACGCCTTTTCGTTTGCCGTCGCGGTGCCGTGCTGTGTGCGTCACTCCAACAGAGGCGGCGGTGGAAAAGGTGTGGGCAGAGGTTGATCAGCAAATCGAACACAGCGACAACGCAGAACAGTTCGTCAACGACAACCCCGAGTGGCAGGTACGAATGATGCGCGCACCTGTGTTTGAGTTTGCTTGTGCTGTTGTGCTTTTATGTGTTGTTGTTGTTGTTGTTGTTGTTGTTGTTGTTGTTGTTGTTGTTGTTGTTGTTGTTGTTGTTGTTGTTGTTGTTGTTGTTGTTGTTGTTGTTGTTGTTGTTGTTGTTGTTGTTGTTGTTGTTGTTGTTGTTTGTTGTTGTTGTTTGTTGTTGTTGTTGTTGTACGTTGTGTGTGTGTGTGGTGGTGGGGTGGGGGTGTGTGTGTGTGT